CTGGCCCGCAGACAACTCCCAGCAGCACGCGCTCCCACCCTCTTTGGCTTCGCTTTCAAACACACCGCCTGCACTTGCTATTGGTCTCTTCGGCCAAAGGCGGGACAGCTCCATTCTAAAGTCTCCGATTGGCTGGCCTTGGCGTCTCGACGATTCGTAAATGAAGTGCAGTGCTCTGGTTTCTGAAGAATGAGCTGGGTCAAAATTAGGAATCTTATTGGCTCCCACTGAGCCCGTGCGCCTGCTCGCGCAGCCATTGGCCGGCTTTGGAAAGCAGACGAGTAAAGGAGGGACGGCGAGGTAGGGGGTCAGGGGTTAGTGAGGCCGGAAGTGAGTGTAATAAAGTTTGTCTAGGGAGGCCGAGGCCGGGGGAGAAAGTTGGTGCAGTGACTTAAACCGACAGTTACGTGATCCGGAACCAGATCGGCCCGCGGTCCGGTGCGGAGACTCCATGCGACCCTGGTGAGTGTCGACTTTCTCTCTGTGGCGACCCACTCCTCTACCCCGGAACCCCTCTCTCAGGACCCTACTTCCGGTCTTGTTGTACAAGTCCCGCCCCGAGACCCCCTCCCCGGAAGTCCCCCCTTCCAACTTCAAGGGGCTCCCCGAACCCCTTCTGTCTCTTACTGTCGGACCACACCCTGTCGTCCCACTTCCCTGGAAATCCCACCCCTAGACACGTTTTCCTGGATGCACGAGATTAGTCTTCCCAGCTCTCCAAAACCGCCTTCTCAGGAGTCTCGACTAAACGGAGCCTATCGAAATCCTGGCTTCCAGAGGGGGCAAAACCTTGCTTTTCAAAGAACGGTTCGGCTTTGTAGGAAAGACGCCGCTGTGGGGCCCCGCCCCCTCCGTGTCCCGCCCCTTCCCTGTCCACGTCTGGTCCTGGGAATGTGGTGCACTCTTCCTTAGGGACCAGGTCCGCTCAGGATACTTTTCCTTGCTGGGCTTCGGTCCATGCCTCAAAATCCTGCTCTTAGGTTCCGGACGCTTCACCTGCCTCTGTATCCCTCTCCTTTCTTTAAGCCTTGGACTTAGTTTTCCTGTTCTCGTGCTCCGTCAGGTGGAGGTTGAAAGTTGCGGTTGTAAGAAGTGAGCTTATTAGCAGTGTCGTTTCCCACGTCACCTTCTCTGGCTGTGAATTAAGTTGATGGGCTGGGCTTCGTTTATGGCAGGAGAATGGACGAGAGAGTGACTTAGAGACCCTTGACCCCACTCCTTCCTGGGGCAGACCCCGTTCCTGAGCAGCCGTAGGTGTTCCTCTGACTGCACTGGACTAAGTATGGACTGGTGTGAACCTAACAGGAGTGAAAGTTTTTCTGCCATCAGAAGAAAAAGTGTTTCGGAGTCAGGAGTAGGGGTTAGTGTCCTTTCCGTTGTTTGTAAAAGACCCCTCCCCATAACCCGATAACTCTTGTTTGGATTCATCCTGGCCGCTCTTGCCCAACCTTCCCTGCTGGAAACATTCCTGAGGTTTTCGCCATTTCCTGCTATTTCCTGCTCCTCCAGCCTCCTCCCTGCTGGGCTGAGGTGCAAAACGCGGCTGTGCTCCCCCCCCCCCCCCCCCAGTCGCTGCTACCTAGCTTTGGTCTAGTAGGCAGTCTCCCATCTCTTGAAGCAAATTTAAAGGCTCATGCTTCCTTCTCTTCCAAATGTGCACACGGTTGGTGATCCCCTGCCTCTGGATATGAACGCTTCAGAGAAAGCCGTCTCAAGATGAGGATATCATGGTGTGTGTTTGTGTGTCTGGCTTTGACAGAAATTTTCCTCCTCTGTCTAAGAGCTGAGGTCTTGGCTAACGGAATGACAGAATTTCTTTTCAGGAAAAGGTGCGGTGTTTGGTGGCAGCTTTCCTGGGCTGGGGACTGGGCAGGTGATGGGAAGCTTGGTAGCTAACCTGTTTTAGAGTACTGGCGTTGTTAATCATGCAGTTTTTAATTCTCCAAAATAAACCTCAGAGGAGTTTGGAGGTGAGCCTCTAAGAAACTAGTTTTTACCTTTTGTAGCTCATCACTTTTTAAATAAGTGGTAGTTTATTCTGGAGCTTGGTCACTTTCTTTAACTTCCTGATGGCCTTTAGCAGAGCTGTGGCAGGAAACTGTGGGGAAAGAAATATGGGTTTGGCGTTGTTCTGCACTTCCGGCCAGATCCCAGATTCTGGTATCCTTTTGTCTTTCCTGTCTTTATTAACACAGCTCTGTGGCGTGTAGGCACTGTTTGCTTCATTTTCCTGCCTCCAAGGCCAGCCCCTCTGCTTGCGTGAGGGACACTGTCGGGTGGGGCTTACAAGGAGAGAAGTAAGCTGTGTCCAAGGGGTACTAACCTCATTCCTCATTATCCCCTGGCTTTCCTCACTGGACCTGTGGAAAGGGGTTCGAGTCGTCCGTTAGTCTTTGACGGGTGACAGCTGTGAAGAACAGGCTTGCTCTAGCTCTCGCACCACCAGATTGGCTTCCCTCTCGGCCTCCACCTACATCTTCTGGGACTACTTTCCCTTCCTGGTTCCCAGCCCTTGTCCACAGCTGTTGTGGCTAGGATGCTAATGGCCAGGTTCCCTGGGGCTGCCACCTCACTCAATATGGTAGGGGGGATGGTCTGGGCTGTAAGGGAAGTGCTAAACTCTGGGACCGTCCTCCCCCGTTTCCACCCTCAGCAGCCTGTTTCCTCCTTTATTCCTCCCAGCCTTCCTGGCTTCCTGCTCTTTCTGCTTGCCCGCGTTGGTTTGGATTGATCCAGAGTTCCTCTTAACCCCTTACTTTCTTTTTTGTCTTTTTCTTGTTCTGACATCTTTCTTTCCTACGGCACCTTTCTCCTCCCGCAGACAGACTACTAGTTGTTTGTAGCGGGCAAGGGAGAGCGGCTGGCTAGCACAAATTGTGTGGGGAGGTGTCTCGGCCCCTCTGAGCCTGTGAGTCAGCACTGTCCTTGGGATTGGTCTCGCTTCCTAGTTCCCCGCCCCTGGGGAGGAGCCAGTTAGCTCTGGGTCCAGCCTGTACTCCTTAACCAGAAGAGGCTTCCTCGCTGGGCTGGGCAAGGATGTGGCCTGAAATTGTCGATGTCTGACGTGGGAGAGCAGAAGCCACTTGTCCTTCGCCTCCCTAGGTCCTCTTGTTATCACCAGGCTGCAGAGGTCAGATCAGCCTGAGGGCCTGGGGATGCCCCCTGCCTGGCCCCCTTGCCTGAATTTGGCAGGGGGGCCAGGCAGCAGCCCCCCTTCTCACCCCAGCCATGGATCTTCTACCCCCCAAGCCGAAGTACAACCCTCTTCGAAATGAGTCTCTGTCATCGCTGGAGGAGGGGGCTTCAGGGTGTACCCCCACAGAAGAGCTGCCTTCCCCATCAGCCTCATCCCTGGGACCCATTCTGCCTCCTCTGCCAGGGGACGATAGTCCGACTACCCTGTGTTCCTTCTTTCCCCGGATGAGCAACCTGAAGCTGGCCAATCCTGCTGGGGGGCGCCTGGGGCCAAAGGGGGAGCCAGGAAAGGCTGCTGCAGATGGGGAAGGGAATGCAGGGGCAGCCCTTCGGGACTCAGGCCTCTTGCCCCTCCTCCAGGACATGAACAAGCTGAGTGGAGGCGGCGGGCGCAGGACTCGAGTAGAAGGGGGCCAGCTGGGGGGCGAGGAGTGGACCAGACACGGGAGCTTTGTCAATAAGCCCACACGAGGCTGGCTGCATCCCAACGACAAAGTCATGGGACCTGGGGTTTCCTACTTGGTTCGGGTGAGTGAACATCTTCCTTTCCACCCCTCCCACACCCCGTCCAGTTCCTCTGCTCACTCCAGATTTGCTGGGACTTCCTGCTCTTCCCCCAACATCTGTGACGCTCCCCTCGTCCTTAAACCCGCCACCTCCACCCCTTCTCCAGCTTCAAGTCTTTCTGTGCTAGCCTGGGAATCTTGTGCCCAGGTCCCCTTTCCTCCACTGACCCCTACCCTCCAGCCTACACAATGCCTAAACCCATCAGAGACTTTAGTGTTAATGAAAAATGACTTCTTGATTCTTCCCTCTAGACTCCCCCCCTTTCCAGAGATGTCACCCCGCCCACCCAATGCCTGCTAGCCCTCTCACAGTGGTCCTTCTCCACCTTTCCCTTAGGGACTACACAGTGCAAAGTCCTAGAACCTTCTGCAAAGGGTGGGGAGTGTGGGTGGGGGAGGGGCGGCTGATCTATCCTTGCCTCCTTCCCCCACAGTACATGGGTTGTGTGGAGGTCCTGCAGTCAATGCGAGCCCTTGACTTCAATACCCGGACGCAGGTCACCAGGTTAGTGGAGAGAGTCCTTAGGGTTGGTGAAGTTACAGAAGTCTCAGTGAGGAGGAGGAGGGAAGTTGAACATTTGGTAGTGGTGCTGGTGGCGACTTCTCATCGGATGGCCAAGAGAATTGAGAGAAAGTTACAGAAGTTGTGTCTGACCGGAAACAGCCAGCTCTGGTCTGGAGCGCCACCTTACCCATCCAGCACGGAGATTATAGGAAGATGGATTAGAAAGGTGGGGTAGGAGGTTGCTGCTGCTTTTGGGAAGGGAATGGAACATTTGGTAACTGGGAAGAGGTGGGGCTGTCGCCATTGAGGCCCTAACCCAATCAGCCAGGAAGCCGCCCTCTGTGCCATCAAATATTAAAGGCCCTTAATTCAATCCACACGACAAAGAGCCTGGAGTGCTCTGGAGTCTGGCCTGGTCTTCCCCTCCCCCAGCTTTGTGGCGGCCCCAGGCAATGGCAGGCCAGTAGTGGGTCTGAGTACCCCTGTTTCTCCAGGGAGGCCATCAGCTTGGTGTGTGAAGCTGTGCCTGGTGCCAGAGGAGCGACAAGGAGGAGAAAGGTATATGTGGTTGCTGTGGAGGGCAGGGGGAGGCACGTGCAGGCACGCGGGAAGACAGGAGGGCCTCCTGGTGTTAGGGTGTTCAGGTTCTGATACTCGGGCCCTTTCTTAGCCCTCTAGCCGCCCACTCAGCTCCATCCTGGGGAGGAGTAACCTGAAGTTTGCTGGAATGCCAATCACTCTCACTGTGTCCACCAGCAGCCTTAACCTCATGGCAGCCGACTGCAAACAGGTGGGTGGGGCTGGGCTGCTGGAAGGGACAGGGTTAGTTATGGGAGGACCAAGGTGGGGGATCTGGAGTCCTCAGGAGCAATCAGAGAGTAGAGTAGGAAGAAATTAGAGGGGTTGGGTATAATAACAATTTTAACCCCAGCACTCAGGTGGCAGAGGCAGGTGAGTTCTAAACCAGCAAGGGCTATATAGTGAGACCCTGTACCCCTGCCCCCCCAAAAAAGAGGATAAAATTAGGAGAATGTAGGACTAGAAGCCAAGAGAATAAGAGTGGGGCTCCAGGGTTCTAAGCTGGGTGAGGGACACGGAGCCCTGCGGCTTCCTGACATTGACCACTGTCTTCCTTCTTCATCCTTCCTTCCAGATCATTGCCAACCATCACATGCAATCTATCTCATTCGCGTCTGGTGGGGATCCGGTGAGTTGGGGGACAGGGGAAGGATGGGTGGGGAATGAGAGACTAGGGGTTAGGAAGGTACTGGGCTACAGGATGGGTGTGGTGGCTCCTGCCTTTAATCCCAACAGCCTCTAAATTCCAGGGTAGTCAGAGAAATCCTTAGGATTGTGGAAATATCTGAAAAGGACTCTGGTCTTAGGGGTCGAATAAGATGGAGTTGTAAAATCGAGCTCACTGGTCTCTTCTGGATCTGTTCTCTCCAGGACACAGCTGAGTATGTTGCCTACGTTGCCAAAGACCCTGTAAATCAGAGAGGTGAGGCTCGTGAGCAGCTCCGGGTGGGACCGGTTATCTGAGGAGTGGGGTCTTTCCCCACTCTGATCAGCTCTACTCGATAGGGCTGTCCTCTGGAGGATGGGGGTGGGAGGTTCCTGCCCACCCTACCTCAGAGCTCACGGGTTCTACTGTGCCCCCAGCCTGCCACATCCTGGAGTGTCCTGAAGGGCTCGCTCAGGATGTCATCAGCACCATCGGTCAAGCCTTTGAGTTGCGCTTCAAACAATATCTCAGGAATCCACCCAAACTGGTCACCCCCCATGACAGGTGAGCTGGGGAGCCTCAGGCTGGGATTGGGAAGTCGTTTTCTCTTCCCATGCTTGAGCTCCAAGGGTTCTGGAAAGGTAATGACTTATGTGATGCTGCCCCCTCTTGCTACTGTGTTAGGTTCCCAGTGGCTCAGCAGGAAAGTCTGTTGTCTGTTGAGGGCCACGCCTGCTGCAGGGACGGTTTCTATCTCTTTGCCTAGGGTGGGCTTATTTCTAGCACCTCTCACTAGGTTGCCTTTTCTAGCTGGATGGACTTTGGCTCAGGTTCCTCATTTTTAGCCTATTCCTGTGTTCTTAGATACTTTTTTTTCCTTAAAGATTTTTATTTTATGTGTATGTGTTTTACTGCATGTATGTAAGTGTATGCGTTGCCTGTAGAAGCCAAAAGAGGGCATTGGATACCCTGAAACTGGAATTAAAGGTGGATGTGAGTTGTCATGTAAGTGCTGAAAACCAAACCTGGGTCCTGCAAGATCAGCAGTGTTCTTAACCCCTGAGCACCATACTTCCTCATTCATTGTTCTTTGCTTTCCTGCCTCTGAAGGTCATTAAGAATCTAGATTTTAGCCACACAGTGGTGGTGCACAGAGGCAGGGCGGATCTCTGTGAGCTTGAGGCCAGCCTGGTCTACAAGAGCTAGTTCCAGGACAGGTTCCAAAGCTACAGAGAAACCCTGTCTCAAAAGACCAAACAAACAAACAAAAAAGTAGATTGAGAAGATATATTTCCTTTTTTTCCTGCATCTGTCTATGTGTTTGTATGTGTTGGTATATGTTGCGTGTGCAAATATACCTGCAAGTGTGTGCATGTAGAGGTCTGAAGTTGGTATCAGATGTCTTGCTCTATTGCATCTTACTTTGTTTATTAAAGGCCAGGATCTCTCGCTGACCAGATGTAGCTAGCAGCAACCAGTTTGTTCTGGCTCCTGTCTCTGCCTCCCACTCTGCAATGAGTGGTTGCCATTCTTGTACACTGGTTCTGGTGATCTGCATTCTGAGCCTCACGCTGTAGCCACTGAGCTATTTCCCCAATCCTAACATCTTTGACCTGAGATCCCTATGTTTCTTTTTTCAAGTCTGAAGTGATAAAGAACGTGAGCATCAGGGACTTTGTCTGTCAGACCATCCTGGATATCCTCATTGTTTGATAGCACTTCATCCCTCTTAGGAGATACCATAGTTGTCAAAAGTGAGAGGTTTTTGTTTAAAACCAAATTAAATATCAATTCTGCCTCCTTCAGTTTGTGCAAATCTCTTCACACCTGATCTCTATTTTTGAAATTTTGGAAGGAATACCAGCCTTAAAAGGGTACAGCACCAAGTCTTAGGTCTGACCCATAGCGTCTGCCTAGTATGTGTTCACCGTTCTCTTCCCTTCCTGGGTCTCTTAGCCACCACATCTGTACACTCACCTCACTCCATCTTTCCTTTCTCAGGATGGCTGGCTTTGATGGCTCGGCTTGGGATGAGGAGGAAGAAGAGCCACCTGACCATCAGTACTATAATGACTTCCCAGGGAAGGAACCCCCTCTCGGCGGGGTGGTAGACATGAGGCTTCGAGAAGGGGCTGCTCGACCCACTCTGCCCACTGCCCAGATGCCCAGCCACTTGGGAGCTACACTGGTAAGCTTCAAAGATGGAGACCCCCAGTCCAGAGTGGGAGTAGCTGGTTAGGGCCTTGATCCACTTGTCTCTGCTTCCCAAGGGCCCTGGTCTCACCTGATTTTTCTTACAGCCTGTAGGGCAGCATGCTGCAGGAGACGCTGAAGTCCGTAAACAGATGCTGCCTCCACCACCTTGCCCAGGTAGGAACAGTTGGCTGAACGGGACAGAGATGGGTACAGAAGGCAGGGCTGGGAGTGACATAGTTTGTGTCTTTCCTTAACAGGCAGAGAGCTCTTCGATGACCCTTCCTATGTCAACATCCAGAATCTAGACAAGGCCCGCCAAGCTGGGGGTGGGTCCGGGCCTCCGAATCCTTCTGTTAATGGTAGTGCACCGCGAGACCTCTTTGACATGAAGCCCTTTGAAGATGCCCTTCGGGTGCCTCCACCTCCCCAGTCCATGTCCATGGCTGAGCAGCTCCAAGGGGAGTCCTGGTTCCATGGGAAGCTGAGCCGGCGGGAGGCTGAAGCCCTGCTCCAGCTCAACGGTGACTTCTTGGTGCGAGAGAGCACAACCACACCTGGCCAGTACGTGCTCACTGGCCTGCAGAGTGGGCAGCCCAAGCACCTCCTTCTGGTGGACCCTGAAGGTGTGGTAAGTGGCCGAGGTGTGCGTAGGGGCTGGTAGGAAAAGGTACCTTTTCCTCTCCTTATTTCTTTCTAGATTTTTCTTTGCTGGAGGCTTTCTATGGACCTCCTTTCTAGATAATTGGTATCTGCCTGCGGTAGTTCCTTCCCTTCCATCCCTGAGTCTGAGCTGTGTTTCTGGGGTTTTTGTTTGTTTGTTTGTTTGTTTTGTTTTGATTTTGGTTTTTTGAGACAGGCCTTGATTCGCGTGCCCTGCCACTGCCAGCTCTAAGCTGTGTTCTTTTAGTTCTTACCAAATCCCAGACCTTAAGCCTATTAATACCAGACCTAGAAAGCGGTTACCTGATCTGTGCTCCTTTTGCCAAGGGAGGAAGTACCCCGGAAAGTCAGTGATGCCCCATATTAGATGGTTGTGGGGTAGAAACCCCAAATTTCCTCTTGTGAGAGGAGTCAGCGGTCTCCCTAGCTCCTTAGCCTCAAACTCAATGTCCTTTTTCTTCTTTTTAGAAATCTGACCTGCCTTACTGCTGTTCCTTAAAACCGTGGTTTCTTTTCTCAGCCCCTTTCCCACATGGTTTTTGTACTGTGTATCCTCTGATGACACACCAGTTCCTTCAAGTCAGAAGCCCCACTATTTGTCAGCTTCATATTTCTGGGCTCCTGCCCCCTTCACACTCTGCCAGTCACTGACCTGCCCTTCCCTCCCCCCTCCCCTCACCCCGTCTCCCTCAGCCTTAGGGGCTGAAGTCCTACTGGACTCATTTGAACTGACCCTCACCCCATATTTCCCACCTTCCCAGGTTCGGACAAAAGATCACCGCTTTGAGAGCGTCAGTCACCTCATCAGCTACCACATGGACAATCACTTGCCCATCATCTCCGCGGGCAGCGAACTGTGTCTCCAGCAACCCGTGGACCGGAAAGTGTGATCTTCAGTCTGTCCTGAATGCCTTCCACCCCTTTCCACCGCGTCCTCTAACTCCTGGGACCTCTGTTTGTGCTCACCTGAGACAGGGAATTTTAGTTAGGAACCTGGGGTAGCAACCTGCTTCTGCCCAAACCTCACCAAAGTATTAATGTACAGAGTGGTCCCTTGCCTGGGCCTTGTCTGTGCCAACCTGATGCCCTTTCCCCCAAAGGGTAGGTTCTTAAAATGGAAAAAGACCCAGTGGAGCAATTGCCCTTTGGGGGAAGGGAAGTAATCATACCTCTGGTTTACCCCTGGTCTTCAGGGTACCCCAGATTCCTTTTAACATATCCTATTCCCTATGCATCCCTTACAACTTTGTGCCTTTGACTATCTCCTAGGTCTGCAGATACTTTATGCAAAGAGTTCTCAGGCCTTTCGTTGTGGATAAGGGTTGCTGACGCCTTGGCTCTGAAACCCTGCCATGCTCAGCACCCCCTTCTGTGTTTGGGGAGAATAGGGGCAGGAGTGGCAGCTATCTCCTCTGCCTTTTGGTTGTGCAGCCCTTAAGAGATTGCCCCAAGCTGGGCTTGGTGGCACATGCCTTTAATCCGCACTCAGGAGGCAGAGACAAGAAGATTTGTGAGGCCAGCCTGGTCTGCAATAGAGTGAGTTCCAGAACAGTCAGGGCCATGTAAAGAGACCCTGAGTTCAAAAACCAAAAAGAAAGAGACCGAGATTGCCTCAGAGCCCCCTCCTGGTGGTGGAGGGGTGAGAGGCAGGTTTGGACCCCTCCCCTGTTTGCATGTGTGTTAGTCTCCAGCCAAAGTATAGCCCTTCTGCCGGCAGCCCCATCCAGTCTCCCTCTTTTGGGATGGGGTATGTGACTGACATGGGCCCCCAGGATGTGTACAGTTAGCCTCGAGGTGGGTTTCGTGGAGGCACTGAGACCGAAGCAGTAGACAATCCCCAGTACTATTGGTAGGTCTGGAACTGCACTTTTTTTTTTTTTTTACACGCATACATTTTAGGGCTGTAGATTTATTTTTCTGGGTTTGTTTCTGTTGCTTACTTTTGAGCACAAATTATGATAGTGGATTTATATATCACCTCGTTGAGTTTTCCAAGCCTTTTTTTTTTTTTTACAACTGTTGAGATTTTACTCGATCTGGCCTAAAAGTAACTAGGACAGGATTTATTTTTCTTATTCCTCAAGAGAACTGAGCAGAAGTTTGGTTAAACAGTGTTGTGGGGTCATGATGTGAAAGCTTACTTCAGATCCTACCTTCCGCTTGCAGGCCAATGCAGCCAGGACAGAAATCTTGCAAGTTCACTCTGTAGGCCTTGTGAACAAGGGGGGTAGACTGGTTTTCAGTCTTGGCCGTCGCCTATTTTTGGTTTGGATGTCTTATACCAAAGGGAAATAGTCTTCATTAAAGTCCTTATTTCTTCTACCTCGGCCTCTTAACACCTCTAGAAAGTCTGATCGATGGGGGCCGTCAGTGGGAGGTGGCGGCGGATTCCACCTGGGGTAGGTCATTTGGGTTCAAAGCCAGCGCCTGTCCGTTGGAACCTGAGTCTGCCAGGATTTGGGGAGCAGTGAGACTGCGCGGGCGGGACGTGTCTGAAAGGCGACTGGCTCACGGTGGGAAGGGGCGTGTCTGGACCGCCCCCAGGCCCACGGGGAACTCGCACAGCCTCTGACGATCGTGCACCCCACACTGCTGCGGGGCCAGCTCCGGCGGCCTTAGCAGCACTTCGGAGGAGTGGCGTGGCGAGGCCCAGCCTTCCTGGGTGCGGCGTGTGGGCCCTTCCCAGTTTCCCCTCCCTACGGCTCTCGGTGGTGGCGACCCATTGGAGTTCCGTTTCCGGTTGCTGTGGCCGCGGGCGGGCGGTGAGTCTGGAGCAGGCGTGCAGTTTGTGCTCTGGCTCTGCGCCTCCCCCTTGGCGTGTCTAGGGCTTGCTGCAGTTCGGGGGTGCTGCGCTGCCCCTGACTCCCCTCCGGGCGATGGTGCGGCCTGAGGACGCTTCCATCCCCCGCCGACGCTGACTCGGGTCCCCCAATCCATGGCCGCCTCGGCGCCGCCCCCACCGGACAAGCTGGAGGGAGGCAGCGGCCCCGCACCGCCCCCCGCGCCGCCCAGCACCGGGAGGAAGCAGGGCAAGGCCGGTGAGAGCGCAGAGAGGGACGGGGGCTGTCGAGGCCCAGGACCCTGGAACCTCGGATGGAAGGGTTGGGGGATGGGAAGGTTGCCTAGGGACCTGGAGGTAGCCTCAGGTGAGAAGGATTAGTGATTGAGAGCAGGTGTCACAGATCACTTCAGGTTTTGGAGCCAGGTATCTTTGATTTCAAGGAAGATGTGGGATGTAGCTGAGAGTGTAGTCAAACTGGTCATTTTTCATATTTCACCCCTGTTTCTTAAATAAGTAAGCAAGTGTACGTGGAAGTTAGAGTCTGGAGAGTGGCTGGGAGGAAGGAGACAGTAGAACCCTCAGGAAAGCTTGCCTCCGTCTGCCTATTGCTGCTCTTCCAGGTCTGCAAATGAAGAGCCCTGAAAAGAAACGAAGAAAGTCCAACACTCAGGTAAAGGGGGATCCGTGGTGGGCTTATCCCCTGGAAGCCCCTCCTACTTTGTTGGGGTGGCTACCTGGCTACCCTTTTGTGCTTTCCACCAGGTGAGGGGAAAAAAAAGCCGAAATACTTTTTTCTCGTTCCCTCTTGGGTCCTGGTTCTGTCTGGTGACAGCAAACCTGGCCTTTTCCCTTTTTGAGACAAAGCCTCATGTATCCCAAACTGACTTAAGATTTGCTGTGTAGCCGAGGATGGCTGAACCTATGATCCTCCTGCTTTCCCTTCCAAAGTGGTGGGATTACAGATGTAATCACCATGCTGGTTTTCTGCAGTGCTGGGGACCCAAGGGACAAGTGCTAGGTGCCCTTAGAGGCCAGAAGAGGGGGGGTCAGAGTCCCCAGAACTGGAGGTATAGGCAGTTGTGAGCTGCCGCATGGGTGCTGGGAACAGAACCCAGAGTCTCTGCAAGTGCTCTAAATCTGTGAGCCATCTCTCCAGCCTGTGCTTTTCCTTGTTTGGAACAAGGTGCCCATCTTGGCGCTGATCTCTTAGCACACCTGCTTCAACCTCCCAAGTGCTGACATTACTGGCTTGTCTCACCAGGGCCGGCTTGCTGGGTCTTTCCTAAGCGTCATAATGCTACAGTGCTTTAACAGTTAGTTGTTGTAAAAGTTGAGAGATAGGAGGCTTTTAAAAGTTAAATATTCAGTACTGAGTGCTTGCCTAGCTAGCTTGCACAAAGCCCCAGGTTCAAGCCTGAGCATCTCATAAACCAGACAGTGGTTCGTGTCTGTCCCAGTACTTCAAAGATTGAGGCAGGAGCATGGGGATAATGAGACTTCCAAGATTATCCTCAGTTACAAACTGAGCTTGAGTGCAACCTGAGTTTTATATAAGACACTATCTCAAAGGAAGAAAAAATTAATTAACTGCTTTGGGGTCAGACCTGAGTTTCGATGTGATTTTTGTCTGTATTTTTATTTTTTTGGTTTTTCAAGACCGGGTTTCTCTGTAGCTTTGGAGCCTGTCCTGGAACTAGCTCTTGTAGACCAGGCTGGCCTCGAACTCACAGAGATCTGCCTGCCTCTACCTTCCAAGTGCTGGGATTAAAGGCTTGCGCCACCACCGCCCGGCATACTTTTCTATTTTTTATTATGTTTAATTTTATGTATGCACACGAGTTTCTGTGTATGTCTGCGTGTGTGCTGAAAGGAGTCAGAGATGCGATCCCTCTGTGGTTGGAGTTGGAGGCCGTTGACCCCTCCAACATGGGGGCTAGGTATCAAACTCATGCTCTTGACCACTGAGCTGTTTCTGCAGCCCTATTTGCCTGGGTTTTGCTTTATTTTTGTAAAAACAGTGCTGTTGTGCCGTGGGTTCGGCCTTCCACCCTCTGCCGTGTTCTGAGGAGAGCTTGTTAGGTGTGCGGTGCTCTCCCAGCTCCGTTCTGCGGCTCACATCTTCCTCCTGTTCTCACTAGGGTCCTGCTTACTCACATCTGACGGAGTTCGCGCCACCCCCGACTCCCATGGTGGATCATCTGGTTGCTTCTAACCCGTTTGAAGATGACTTCGGAGCCCCTAAGGTGGGGGGTGCAGGCCCTCCATTCCTTGGCAGCCCTGTGCCCTTTGGGGGCTTTCGTGTCCAGGGGGGCATGGCAGGCCAGGTACCCCCAGGCTATGGCACTGGAGGAGGCGGGGGTCCCCAGCCACTTCGTCGACAGCCCCCTCCTTTCCCTCCTAACCCTATGGGCCCAGCTTTCAATATGCCTCCTCAGGGCCCTGGCTATCCACCACCAGGCAACATGAACTTTCCCAGTCAACCCTTCAATCAGTCTCTGGGCCAGAACTTCAGCCCCCCTGGTGGGCAGATGATGCCAGGCCCAGTGGGGGGATTTGGTCCCATGATCTCGCCCACCATGGCACAGCCTCCTAGAGGGGATCTGGGTCCTCCTCTCCCCCAACGCTTTGCCCAGCCTGGAGCACCCTTTGGTCCTTCTCTTCAGAGACCTGGTCAGGGGCTACCCAGCCTGCCTCCCAACACCAGTCCCTTTCCTGGTCCAGACCCTGGTTTTCCTGGCCCGAGTGGTGAGGACGGGGGAAAGCCCTTGAATCCACCTGCCCCCACTGCCTTTCCCCAGGAGCCCCATTCAGGCTCCCCGGCTGCAGCTGTTAACGGGAACCAGCCTAGCTTCCCCCCCAGCAGCAGCGGTCGGGGTGGTGGCACTCCAGATGCCAACAGCCTAGCACCCCCTGGCAAAGCAGGTGGAGGCTCAGGGCCCCAGCCTCCCCCGGGCCTGGTGTACCCTTGTGGTGCCTGTCGGAGCGAGGTGAACGATGACCAGGATGCCATTTTGTGCGAGGCCTCCTGCCAGAAGTGGTTTCACCGCGAGTGCACCGGCATGACGGAGAGCGCCTACGGGCTGCTAACCACCGAGGCCTCTGCTGTCTGGGCCTGTGATCTCTGCCTGAAGACCAAGGAGATCCAGTCCGTCTACATCCGAGAGGGCATGGGGCAGTTGGTGGCTGCTAACGATGGGTGACTCCATGCGGTGACCTGGGGGAATGCACATTGCTCACCATGCTCTTGCAGAGGAATTACGTGGCTCTTGCTCCTCGCTTTCCACTGGCTTTCCATCCCCATGAAGCAGAAACATACAGTTCCTGAAGCAGAAGAGGAACTGACGTGGGCAGGCAGAGGAGCCCAGAGTGCTTGCTTTTCTGGGAACTGCTACATTGAGACCCTTCAGAGATCCAGGGAGCTAAAGCCCTGCCAAGCAGAGCCCTTCCTAGCGTCCAGCTGGAGGCTGCAAGAGAGGAAAGGGGCTGGAGGAAGTTCCAGGTGACAAAGATGTCCTGTGTGCAGATGACTCTAACACCCGTGCCTATGATACCTATGTAGCCCCACAGCTCCAGCGTAGCCTTTGGAGTCACATGTTCAAGGTTTCATCTCTGGTCCCTTTTATGGGTTCTGGAAACAACTGGGGATTTCTGTCTTTTTCTGTCCTTCCCTTTGCTTCCTCTGGACCCATCTTAACTCCTTTCCACAGAGTATCAGATACCCTGAAGAAGCAGAGTTCTGACTTGAGCATTGCTTGTCTGGGGGGGGGTCAAGACTGTAGATAAAAGATGCTGAGACGATCTCTTCCTCACCAAAGTCACTGGTCCTTTCTCAGCTTCTCTGCTTGTCTCTCTCAGTGACCGTGTTGTCAAAAGTTGGGATGTGTGGTCTGACTGGCCCCAGAGTGTTGGAGGTCTGGACTGGAGACGTACCCGCTTCTTCCCTGCCTATCTGCTGCATAATATGATAGTGTTGTTCTTCAACTCTTGGTGCCCTCGTTTCCTTTGTCTCAGGGGAAAGTTTGGAAAGGCATGAAGCCCTTATACCTCGTTCATTCCCTGATGAAACGATCCAGCTGAGGCCCTGCCGTGGCTTTGGGGGCTGGGGGCAGGCGGTAGGATCCTCAGAGTCGTGATACTGAAAGCTAAAAGAACCTGAACTTTTCTGCTTTGCTCTTTTTTATCCTGTGATATCGTCTGGGCCTGGTGATCCAGCAACTAGGCTTGGTTTATTTTTATTTTTGTAGGATTCCCCGCCAGTGATGGACCTGGGGCCTGATCAGGAGCCCTCTTAGCTTCTCTTAACCTCTTTCCACTTAGCCCATGTGCCCATTCCTCATATGGGTGAGGCAAGCAAGCTAGGCTGTGGCCCTTTTGGGAGACATCTCAGTGCCCAGCACTCAGCACTTCTCATGTTGCCTGCACATGGAAAGAAAGAGAAGACACTGTTGGAGTTGACAGCCTTTGAAGAGGAAGAAGGTGGACCTGCTTTTTACTCTGTGGCCCCCAACTCCTAAACTTCTGTGGCAGCCTCTCTGCTCAA